ATACAAAAAAAATTAGCTTCTCGTTAATGGTGTTAGCTGGCTCTCCAGGATCAGGTAAATCAACTATATCACGTCATATAATTGAAAAAATTAATGCATTATATGGTGAAGAAGTTGCCATTGTGGTAACTCAAGATGGTTTCCATTATTATAGACATGAATTAGAAAAATTTCCAAATAAAGAAGAAGCATTTAAACGTCGTGGTGCTCCTTTTACATTTGATTCTGAATTATTCTTGAAATTGATCAAGGTATTAAGAGAACCAATTAATGATAATTTAATAATTACAGCACCAGATTTTAATCATAAAGTTAAAGATCCACAATCAAATGCAATTTATATTAAACCAGAACATAAAATTATAATCATCGAGGGAAATTATGTTTTATTAAAAGATGAAAATTGGAAAGAAATTGGTTCTTTAGTTGATGAACGTTGGAAAATTCATGTTGAACCAAAAATTGCAAGATCAAGAATAGTTAAAAGACATATTGAAAGTGGTATATCCTCTACAATTGAAAAAGCAATTAAAAGATGTGATGATAATGATATGATTAATGCAGAATATATTAGATTGAATTCATGTGTTCCAGATTTAACTATTGAAAGTATAGATGAATAGGAAAACCTTTATTTTTTATAATTATTTATTCAACTTATCAATAGCTTCTCTTGCCTTTTTAATATTTTCCAAAGCTGTAGTCATATCTGAATGTAAACAAACACTAATTGGATTCCCATCAAAATGTAAATCAATCAAATCATCATTTTGATCAGTAATTTGATCTTTTAAACCAGCTTCATAAATTGAATCATGAATAATTTCAGGAGTTTTCAATCTACTTTTAGCAGGTGGAACAAGACCTCCCTTTGAGTCATAATCACAATCAACATAAAGTTCTTGAATAAATTCAACACCTTCCTCTTTGGCAATTTTTACATAATGAGCATTTTTAGCACCAAGAACCGGGACACCAAATACTTTAATTGCTTTCAAAGCAGCTCTCATGATTTCTTCATCTCTTTCAATATAAAAATATAATTCACCATGAGGTTTAATATGACTTAGAGGAACATTTTCAGCATCCAAGAAAGCCTTAAGAGCACCAGTTTGATACAAGATTAATTTATAAATTTCATCAGGTGGGATATCCCATTTTCTTCTACCAAACCCAATTTTATCAGGTAATCCAGGATGAGAACCACATTTAACACCATATTTTTTAGCATTTTGAACAGTTTTTAACATTATATTATAATCACCAGCATGAAATCCACATGCAATATTTGCACGATCAATATATTTTATAATTTCATCATCATCTGCAATTTGATAACGACCAAATCCTTCACCCATATCACAATTGATTTCATGTTTTGTTAATAGTTTCCCATTTAACTGAGCTGAACCAGATAATTTTGTAGCCATTGTTTATGAGTAGTTTGTTAACCATTGAAACTATTAACCATATTAACCAGCATTTCCATCAGTTTAAATATCCCAATCAATCAATCCCCATCTATTTCTTATCAAATTGGCATAAACTTTTCGGGTAATGTCCTTATTGTTTTCTTAAAAAAGAAGTTTTGCGCTGAAAAATGAAATCCGAGGACATAAAATTTATACACGTGACGAGTCAGATGACTCAAAATAGCCAGTAGTCGGAATTCAATTCCCACCAAAATGCCAACTTTACACAGAAAAAGGAGGTTCAGAATCTCAGAATTGTTGATTGAATTGAATTGATTTGATTGATTTGATAGCAATTGAACTATTGGAAATCACATAGAATGCTTCAATTACAGAGTGACAACTTGTTGATCAAGAAGACATTGACAGAATTGATCGAATCTCCAACTTCAGTTGATAGAATTGTATCTGATTTTGATTATACAACGTATCATCTTTCAACACCTGAAAACAAGACAAAATTATTATTATCAATAGGAACAAAATCATGGAAAGATTTGGATAAATATGATGTTGTTGGTAAATTGAATGCTATATATGGTCAATTCCAAACCGATACTGTGGAACCAGGTTATAATTATTCAATTTATTTAGATCTCGAAGAAATTGCTACAAAATCTCAAGATGAACAATTTGAAATTATTGAATCACTTTCATTATTGAAGAGAAATGCTCTTGCTGCACCTTTTGAAAGTGCATTAGAACAATATGAAAAATTAAATGCTGAATATCAAGAAACTGGAATTGAACCAAGCTCAAATAATTCATCAATTATTGAAATTAATTATAGAGATGAAGAATCAATTTATATAAAATCTTCATTTGATAGAGTTACAGTTATATTTTCCACAATTTTTAAAGATGAAACTGATAAAATCTTTGGTAAAGTTTTTTTACAAGAATTTGTTGATGCAAGAAAAAGAGCTGTTCAAAATGCTCCACAAGTTTTATATTCACATAAAGAACCACCATTAGAAATTAGAGATTTAATAAAATTTAGTCCAAATGAACAAAAAGGTTATGTTACATTTGTCTTATTCCCAAGACATTTAGTACCACAAAAAAAATATAATACAATTTCTCATATTCAATTATTTAGAAATTATTTCCATTATCATATTAAATGTTCAAAAGCTTATATGCATTCAAGAATGAGATTTAGAGTTAATCAATATTTGAAAGTGTTAAACAGAGCTAAACCAGAAAATGAAGAAACTGTTGAAAGAAAAACCGCAACTGGTAGACGTTTCCTTGAAAGATAAACTCTTATATATACGAAAACTAATAATGTACAATTGATGTTTTTTTTATTTACACGTGATTTCATTAAAACTTTTATACGAATCTATTATTTACATTTATTCTGCTTTTGCAGGTTTTTTTAACACCATATCTTGATCTTGAAGTTGTTCTATTTGCAACACCACTTAAATCCATAGCACCACGAATACAATGATATTTAATACCAGGAACATCTTGACATCTTCCACCTCTAACATAAACAACACTATGTTCTTGAGCATTATGACCTTCACCTGGAATATAAGCTGAAACAACATCACCATTTGATAATCTAACTCTACATGCTTTTCTTAAAGCAGAATTTGGTTTTTTAGGTTTTAAAACCATAACTCTTAAAACAACACCTTTTTTAATTGGACATTGGTCTAAATTTGGAGCTTTATTTAATTTCTTCTTTGGAGGTTTAACAGCACCTTTTCTTATTTGATTTATTGTTGCCATTCTATTATTTATTTTTATTGGATTAAAACGATTTTGAAATTGGAAAATTGAACTTATAGAAGTATTTGAAGATGCTAGTTTGGCACCGGCCCCGACATTTTGACGGAAAAGTTGTGTAGTGGCTCCTGATCCCACAAGGGACTTGAACATGAAGTTTAAAACAGTCATATTTATGTGGTGGTTGACTGCGATGTTCCCTTGATCTTTATTTGAATCTTTTGATCTTTGTTGGTTTTATTCAAAATATTTCAATATCGCTTTTTTCAAATTCGCGAAACAATTTAATAATAATTTTTCGCGAACAAAATACCCGGCCGGGGAATTCAAAGAAAAATATACCACTCCATAGAAATTGAATCTTTTGAATATCAACCATTGAAACCATTGTTATTTCAATTGAATTAAGGGTCACTTACCGTTCAAAATGCTTAGATCCAGACTACTATCAACTGCTAGACGCTCCATGGTCATCACACCAAAAAGAATGATGTTCCCAGCCTTCCCAACCACCCAATTGAGATTATCATTAACCCCATCTTTAATTAGATCTTATTCTCATGCTCCAGAATTAACTCGTGATATTATTAAAGAAAGAGTATTGGATATTTTTGAAGGTTTTGATAAAGTCGCAGAGGATAAATCATTAGAAGAAACTTCAGATATTTCTAAAGATTTAGGTTTAGATTCTTTAGATATAGTTGATATTGTAATGGCTTTAGAAGAGGAATTTTCAATTGAAATTCCTGAAAAAGATGTTCCAGGTTTGAAAACTATTGGTGATGCTATTAATTATATTGAAAACACTCCAGATTCTGCTTAGTTATATACACACATACAATTTATCGATCTAATATCGTACTTATTTATTATTTATTTATTACATACAATAAACATATATGATTTTTTATAACATTGATTATTTATTGAATACTTCTTTTTCCAATTCTCCAAGAGATTCAACGTAAACTTGTTCCATATCTTTAACTTTTTCTAATTCAATTTCATTCAATTCTTCATTTCTATTAATATCTAAATTAATTTTATTCCAAAATTTAACTTCACCTTTACCAATTAAGAAATTATATGCATCACCTTTATTATTTGCTCTTGCAGTTCTACCAACTCTATGAACATATTCTCTACTTGAATTTGGTAAATCATAATTAATAACATGTTGAATTGTTAAAATATCAATACCTCTTGAAATTAAATCTGTTGAAATTAAAATATGAATTGAACCTTCTGAAAATTGTTTTAATAATTTGGATTTTTCAGATCTTGATTGTGATGAATTAATATTTGATATAATCAATGGAATTGATAATTTAGAAACTAATATACTTAATAATCTTGATAATCTTAAAGTTGATTCATTTGATTTTGTGAAAATTAAAACATTATGTGGATATTTTAACCATTCAAATAATTTTAATAAATATAATGGTTTATGACTTGATGAATTACTTGATAATTTAATTGTATGTTCAGATAATTGAGTTGGTAATGTGAAAATTTTATCATTTTGTAATATACTTTCTTCATTATTAACAATTATTAATCTTGGATTATGGAAATTTAAATTTGATAATTTACCAGAATCTGTTGTTAATGTAGCACTGAAAATCATTTTAATTAAATTTGGTTTGAAAATTTTGGAAATATTATTTCCTTTATTAACATCATTTAATTTTGTTATTAAAACATTTGACCAATCTTGGAAACTTTGATTTAATAATCTATCAGCTTCATCAATAACACACCATTGTAAATTTTTCAAATCAATACTCTTGAGATTCAAATGATCAACTAATCTCCCAGGGGTTGATATTATAATATCTGGTACATTTTTAATTAATTTTAAATGTTCATCTTGTAAATTTAAATCACTTTTACCCAATGTAACAATATTTAAATCAATCCCTTTGGAAATAGAATCCATTGTTTTATAAACTTGATTAATCAATGGTTTTGTTGGAACTAATATAATACATCTTAATCTTGGTACAATTCTATTTTGTAATGATTGAATAATTGGAATTGTATATGCTAAAGTTTTACCAGAACCAGTTGATGCATTAACTAATAAATCACCTTTTATAGAATTTGGATTTAATTTATTATTTATTTCAGGTAATAATAAGCCTAAAGTTTTAATTTGTGTTGCAAATGCATTATCAAATCCCAAATCTTTTAAATTTTTTAAAATTATTGGTGAAATTTCAAAATCTTTAAATGGTTTAATTTCATCTGTTTTAATATATTCAGGTGTAGCTAACCAATTCAATGAATTGTTTGTTTGAGAACGTGATAATCTTTGATCTCTTGGTAATTCAGGTTGTGGTAAAGGACCTAATTCATGTGTTTCAGCATCTTTAATATCTTCATCTTCATCAATTTGATCTTCAGATTGTTGAGATTGTAATTTTTCTGTTTTACTAACAGATGTTGTAAATCTTGAAATTATATTGGAAAATTTTGAATCATGATCTTGTGGTTCTAAAGGTTGTAATGGTTCAGATGTAGGTTTTTCATCGGGTATTATTTTATCATTATCATCTTCTTTGATATTATCCTCATTATCATCACCATTGGTTTCACTATCACTGGAATCATTTTCACTATCATCATCACTATCACTACTACTATCACTTTCACTATCACTTCCTTCACTACTATCACTATCACTTCCACTATCACTTGAATCTTTCATTTCTTCATCACTATCACTTGATTCATTTTTATTTTCATCTTCATTATCTGATTCAACATCACTCAATTTTCTTTTTGAAGAAGTTTTTTGTTCATCCACTATTAAAATATTAGGATCGAATCTTGTAGCAAACATTGTTCCCGAATTAAATGAATAAAAATCTTTGATTTATCAAATTCTTATTTATCAATACTCATCTCATCTCATGGTAGTAATAAAAAAATTTACTATAAACAATAAAAAGACCGTGTATAGTTGACAGATCACATCACGTGTAATTTAGTAAAGTCAGCTGACTAGGGCTTCTTAAAATATCACACGAGAATTTTCAGGAATTTTTTAAAAAATCCCACGCGAATCCTTCCGATGGTCCGGAAATTTTAGGTACCAAAAAAAGTTCAAAAATTCTGCCAAATTTGTCCGGTATGATTACGTCAAATTTTATTAAAAAATTGTAGGCTTAAATTTTTTTTGATAAAGCGGATTAACTATTACGTAGTTTTGTATATTTATACATGTATTGTGAAGTCATATAAGCACGACCTTAAAAGAAGTTCTACTGTCTTGTTTACATTTCATGTGTTTGAAGTATATCTTTTGATCAAAATAAGTCTAGATTTATGTGTTCTAAGATAGGGCGGTAAGATCAAAGTGGAACCACAAGTATCCTGATTTAAGGAGGCAACGTTTAAAGAGTCAACAGCCAACAGCCCCGGGACTTGTTAACAAACCAGCTATTCACCCCGTGAAATTCTGGTTTAAAGGGAACACCTACAAAAAAATCTAACCACAATTTTGATAATTTAATTCATGGCAGGAATTATCCGGATTTTGAAACATTTAACTAGTTGATTACGTATATTTCCTGTACAGATTACAAATTTAGGCCTTTGATAACCGAACCTATTTTGGATTTTGGTACGCATAATGATGAATAAGAGGAGTTTAATTAAAGTTTAGAAATAATCATGTTACATTTTTTAGATTTGTGATCCTATAAGGTAATTTCAGACGTGTATAAAAGGATTGAGAAATCCTGGTTTGAGGTTTGAAATGTTTATTCCTATTAGATTATCATTATAGACATAGTTCTAAACAACAACAACAACAACTTTAACAACAACAACACTTTATTACAATTACACAATGGCTTCACCAATTCAAAGACCTTCAGGTATTTTATTCGCTGGTATTTCTACCATTGCCTTAGCTGGTTATTCATATGTTCAATTAAATTCAAAAGCTTTTGAAAATCAATACGTCTTGAGTGGTAAAAATCCATATAGTTTTAACTATGAACGTTATGGTGCTTTAAATAAACAATAAATTAACAATATCACAAATAATTATACAACACACTCCAATTATATTTTTAGCTTGATGCTTTCCATTCATTAGATGCTTTATCATTATCATATTGACTGGTTCAATATAAGTTTTATATAGTCTAAGATTACTATATATGTATACCAAATATATTTATTAGAAAATTATATAATATGAAATTGTAGTAACCCCCTAATCTATTATCATGATTTTTGGGGTGACATTAGTGACATTAAAATGACTTTTGTAAATACTCCAACTTTTTGGATGAAGGGGAATAAATTTGAGCCATACAAACATAACCATTTCCTTTTTTGAGAAACCCAAAACCGAGGGCAATGATCACATGATTTAAACTCGCGAAACCCAACACTTCCGACCATCAGCTTTTTTTTCCAAGTTAACTATGGAAATTACGATCAATTATAATGTTGATCAATATTAAAGATTTGTATTTTATAGATATTATATTAAAAAGCTAAATTATAATGAGAGCTGCTAGTATACTGTTGAAACGTTCAGCATGGAAAGGTGGGTACTGATACTTTTCTGATAGTAGGATCTCATACTAACAGTTAATTAGGTCCTCATGTTGTTCCATTACCAATAGGACATGCTTTAAAAACAGGTACACCAATTAGAACAAATGCAAGAAGTTGTACAATATTACCACAATTTGTTGGATTAAAATTTCAAGTTCATAATGGTAAAGAATATGTTCAATTTGAAGTTATTGATGATATGGTTGGTAGTAAATTAGGTGAATTTGCACCAACAAGAAAACCATTTAAATATACTCAAACTAAAAATAAATAGATGTTATTTTGTTATCGAATTATTACATTTTGGTTATTTGGTCATTTGTTTGTTTTTCCTTCAGTCATTTTACAACATATTTTGTTATTGTATATTACATGTATATATTTATATTAAAAGTTTTTTAAAATTTAGTGTATTATGCAGTGTAAAAGTTCATCAAGATACAAATCTTAACGATTAACCTTTTGCTAACGCAAAAGCTTTATTTATCTTCTCTCTTGTCTTGAAATCCCAGCTTTTAATCTTTCTTCTCTAATTCTACCAGTTTTATCCTCCATTGGCCATTTCCCCCATTTATTTAATCTTATAATCAAACAAGTTGCATTATCATCTCCACCAATAGCTTCAATATATTTTATAACTTCTTCAGAACAATCTTGAGGTTTACCTAATCTATTATTATGATGAGTTTTGATTAAATCCACAATTTCTTGATCAGTTGCATTCTCGGTAACACCATCTGTAACAAGAACAATAAAACATTCATCACCACCTTTACCACCTATTGTTTTAGAAGTTAAATTATTTTTAGCTATTGATGTGGAATCACCAATTATATATTGAGTTATATCAGGTTCTGCACTTATACCTTTTGATTTTGCAATAACATCACCAAAAGATCTTGTATTTGCAAAATTCATAAATCTATTTTCACCAAATGAATCAGTTGCAAAATTTGCACTAAATTTATTTAATCTCTTGGATTCTATATCAGAAGTTGGATGATGTATTGAATTAAGGGAATGAGCTTTACCATCTTTATCACATATTATTGCCTTAGTATCACCAATTTGACTTATGATTAATTTTGATATTACACCATTTTCAAAATATAAATTTGAATCATCTCTAGGATCTAGGTTATATAACCAAATTGAAGTTGAAGTTGAACCTGATTTTTTATTATTTGATAAAAATTCATAATCTAATGATAAATAAGCTTGATTTAATCTTAATTTTAAATCATCCATATCTGTTTCCTTAGGTTCAATTGAATTGAAAAGATCTGATCTTTTCCTATAAATTCTTTTCCAATAACCACCAATATCATCATTATATTTTTTGAGTAAATCCATATAACCTTCCTTTGTGGGCTCTATTGTTTCAACTTTTTCATTTAAATGATTTCTTAAATATGTACTACATTCATCACCACCATGACCATCAAATATACTTGTTGTGAAAACATCATGTTGAACAATTTTAGTCATACCATAATCATTTAATTTAATTGGTAATTTAATCATATTAACACTATATTTATCTTCATTATATAATCTCATTACTCTTGAAGTTGAATGACCAAAATGTGATGGAGCTTTTAATAATTGAATTTTTAATTTTGCATGTTTATAAATTGAATCTTGTGATAAATTTAAATTTGGTTGTTGATTATAGTTCCGTATGGGGAACGATACAAAATCACTTAAAGATCTTTTTTGATGTATTGATTTTAATTTTGGTATTTGTTTCATATTTTCATAGTGGATAATTGTGTTGATGTTTTGTATTAATACCTACTAATTACCAGGTATATAATAATCTTTTTATGTCAAAGAATTTGAATTTTCGCAATTTTTCTTTCCCGGGGAAATTTTGAGATCAGGAAAGAATTTTGGCAGGTGTCCGCGTGGGAGTTTAGGCAGGGATAGACGGAGGCATAGACGGAGACATAGGCAGAGATCTAAACAGAGATCTATACAGAACTAAATAGAACTAAACAGAGTGACATAGACAGGTATAAGCAATAACCATTAAATGAAATGATCTCTGTTTAGTTATTAAATAGAAAGTATATGATAATCAACTCCTTTGACTCATTCCATTGTAATTTAAATCCTTTGTTTATTGTTTTACTTTGTAGTAGATCAAACTTGTACGCGTTTCGTGTTATCCGATTAGACCATATTACACACTTTTAAATGATATTTAAATACATTGAAATCATGGTAATTTAAAGGAAATGAGCTTGATTGATTTGGATGTAGTCTAGTTATTTCTGTTGATATATCTTCTAGCAATATTATACTTAAGTGTACTTGATATTTTCGTTCAATCGTTCATTAAACACTTCCACACATAAAAAATGCTGAAATTGTTACAAATTCCTCACTGGAATCATACAAGAACAACACCCAATACAACAAAATCAAATCATCACCATCACCACAAGACAATGGATCCAAAATTACCATTCTATCTTCAACAATCCCATGCCCAACTAGCCACTAAATTCAAACAAATCAAATTATTAGAAGATGAAAGAATTCATGATGTTACTATTAAAAAAGATGAATCAAATTGGAGTGTATCATCAGGTATTGAGGCATTTGAACTCAAGAGAAATCGTTATATGAATATATTACCATGGGATAAAACAAGAGTTAAATTAAATGTTACAGATGGGTTTAATGATTTTATAAATGCTTCAAATATTGAATTAGATCTTAATAATCATGATTTTAAAAGTTCAAAACAACAATATATATCAACTCAAGGTCCAACTAAAAACACAGTTGATCAATTTTGGCAAATGATTATACAACAATCTCCCATGAAGAATGTTGTAATATGTATGGTTACTCCATTACAAGAACATGGTGTAACAAAATGTTTTAAATATTGGTGTGATGTTAAAGATGATTTAGTTAAATTTCAAGGTGATGATAATGGATTTGAACATGATTTAGAATTAAAATGTATAGATTCAGTTGATACTGATATACCAGGAGTTACATATACTACATTATCATTAAAATCAATTAAAGATGATACAATTATTGATGAAAAAATTATACATCATTTATATTATGATAAATGGACAGATTTTAGTAAACCTGAAGATTGGAAATCTATTTATCAATTAACCAAATTAGCAAGAGGGTTAAATGATGATTTAAATAAATTAATTGTTCATTGTTCAGCTGGTGTTGGAAGAACAGGTACTTTTATAACATTAGATTATTTATTTAATAGTATTGATCAATATGATAATTCTCAAGATAAAGATCTTATTGAGATTATAGTACAAATCTTAAGAACTCAAAGGATGATGATGGTTCAAAGTCAAGAACAATTCTTGTTTATTTATGATAGTTTGAAAAGATATTTATTAGGTGTGTAATGGAATGATGGTATTATGGTATACAATTTGTAGTAATGAACATTCGCACTATGAATACATTGAAAGATTTCAATTTGAACTTAATATACAATGGATCTTTATAACACAGTGTACCTTTTCATTAACTATCAACAACATATATATTCCCAATCTATAGGTACTCTTAATAGACAATTGATTCTATAATAGTAGCATCATCAATTAATAGTTCACCGGTAAGGACAACATGATGTTTTATTTTTCCTATTGTATAACAACAAATTTAATTAAATGTATCCAAATAATCAAAATAAATACTAATTAAAAGTGGTAAAAGGACTATTCCACTCATGATAAGGACAATGACACAGGTGGTGATAGTGAGTGTATCGTCATCTATCCATGAGAACATTGGTTCTTTTGGTGGTGATGGGAAAGTGTATTGTTCATGTTCAAGAACAAGTTGAACAGTGGTGATGTTTGGATTTGATATGGAATTGAATTGATTTGAATGATTGTTCATTGTTTGATCTGTTGATCTGTTGTTTATTGATGATTAGAAGGGTTTATTTTCATTGTCTTTTAATTTCATTGATTATTGTTTTTATTACGTGTTCAAATCTTCAAATATCTCAGCGGCTAATTTAGTTTTAAATTTAAATTCAATTAATTTATTTGGGCGGCTAATTCAATTTAATTTTAATATAAATATAAAGTGAACGCGCTTTTAGAAACTTGATCTTGTTTTGTTTTACCGCCATCATCAATTCATACATTCTTCATAGAGTTCAATTGATTTCAGTTAGGTTCAATTGGTTTAGTTAGTTCAATTGGTTACAAGCTATTAGATCATCTGTTACAAGTTGTTAATATCATCATTTTCATCACCATCAATATGACACTTTCAAGTTCATTTAGACTAAGTCTTAACAAAATCACCGTTGCTCAACCATTAAAATCTAAAATTTATAATCTATTGGGTAATTTACAATTTAATTTAGTTGTTTTAGAAGAAACTAATTATATCAACTTCCAACTGGTTAACAATAATTATTCAAACAATGAATTTTTAGAACCAATTGAAGATTTTGTTAAATTAATTACAAAACCTGAATATGTTAGTCTTACTTATAATACTTTTTATATGGATCATTTTAATAGGAAAATTATTTTTAAACCAAGAATTTTACCAGGTTATAGTTATGAATTTGATTTTTTAGATTCAAATATGGAAATACTGAAAAGAGAATTATCAAATTCAATGAATTCTCTTGGTGGGTTTTTAAAATTAAAAATGATTGGACTGGATCCAATTGATTATGATTATAATTATGAAAATGGTAATTATCATAGTGCTATTGATTATTCAAGTGATATTGATACATATTGATATACCATACATTATAAGGGTTTATGTTACTTGCTGGATCAAAACAAGAACCCTTAGATATCGCTGCATTCAAATGGCTTAGAGAAATATAAAACAAAATTAAAACACACCACACCCAAAAAAAGTTATGATTGTTTATGAGAAAAATGAGAAAAAAGGTTTAGATTATGTATACTATAGTATACTTTACAATTGAATCAATGGCTATGATTATGTATTTAATTCCATATGTAAACTATTACTTCAAAATTCTTAAAAATTCTTCAATAATTAATTCCCATTCATCAATTTTAATAAAATCATTATCAACCATTGTGAAAATTAATCTTAATTCATTATTAAATCTCATAACAACAACACCAAATGCAAATTCTAAATTAAAAGTTGATTGAGTAAACCAACCATTAATTTTTAATTTCCCAATATTTGTAATTCCAAAAAAATCTCTTTCAATATTATTGTTCAACCCATTTCCAAATCTTTCAACCCAATTAACCTTTTCATCAGATTCAAACATTGACAAGAATGGTTGCCAAACACCACCACTTTTAGCTTCATTTCTTAATTCATCACTATATAATTTTGTATCAATTTTAGGATCAATATTTTGGAAATAACCAGGTGAATAACATCCATATCTAATATCATCATCAGTTGGTAAAAAAGGTCTACCATCAACTCCAAAACATGTTCCATATTTTAAACCAATGGGGAACTTATTTGGAAATGTATTTATACTTGCTTGAACCCATTGTTTTTGAATATTTGAAGTTAATGAATTTGATAAATTTGGAATTTGTGTTGTTTTAACAATAAAATGATGATTTGATCCATAATTTTTAATACTTGTTTGAAATTTTATCAATTCAGATTCTAATCTTTCACCTTGTTTAAAAGCTTGGAAATCAATTAATCTTTCTAATGGTTTTGAAACAGTATGCCCTGAATCATATTTATAAATTGGTTCTTGAATAGAATTTATTTCATTTGGTTTGAAATCATCAATAAATAATTCATTAGCTAAATTAATAACTGATCCTCCATCAAATATTGAATGATCCATAATTATTACAGAATAATCACCTGTTAAGATCAAACGAAATAATTGTTCTTCAACACCATATTTTTCAAATCTTTCTTGATTAATCTTGAGTAATAATGATTCAAAACTTAAATCTCCTCCCCAATCAAAAACAAATTGATCTATATATAAACTTTATCTGGCAAATAAATTCCTTCATCTTGAACAATAGAAGCTAATACTGGTGATGATTCTATTATCCTTTGAAGTCTATAGTGTAATTGTTCTTTAGTTGGTATTAAATCAGGTTTAATAATGATACTAAAATTATTGTATTTTTTAGTTTTACTTAAAGCGTGGAAAAATCTTTCAATTTTACCAAGATCTCTAATGAAATGTGTCATAATGAAAATTGAACTATAATATAAGAGTGATTGGTATGATTTATTGACAATGAATGTTTAATGGAATCATGGTTTTCTTTATATTTGTTTAGTTTTGATCTCAAATTTTCAATCCTTGAGAATCTGTACAGTTTGATAGTTATCAGATATAGAAGCTTAACGGCCGTAGGCAGCCACAGATTAAAGGCGGGATAAACAACTTGTTAATATCAACATTGATTTTAAAAGATTCAATCAAAGTATAATGTCATGATCAGAGATAATTGTACTCGAATTGTATTGGAAATTGGAATACATAACTCATAGTTATGAAGTGTGTTTATATGATAGTACCATGATATGATAGTACCATGATACCTACATAATACCGGGGATCAAAAATTAAGTGACATTTTATTATAGTGTTAATTGTACAATTTCAGGGGGAAATTAGTTTTTACTAAATTAATTAATGTGTGTTTTAATGTTATGATTATGAATATTACTGAGAATTTGTTTGAAATATAAAGCCTTATAGTAAATGAGTGGAGAGAATTCAGGACACAGAGTCCATAAACACAAGTCTCTGATATTTTACAATGCAACTCAAAAACAAAATAAATGGTCATACAAATGCAAGTTATGTGGTTTCGAGATAAAGAATAAAAGTAATAAAGACTTTACTAGGTCTCTTACAAGCCACTTACAACAGAAACATTCAAGAGAATATGAAAAATCCAAAAGTTTCTCTCCAGATGAAATCTATTGGAATTCACTAATGAGATTGACAGGTGCTGATAAAAAGATCAAAGAAAACAAAGATGATAACAAATATGATTTTGAGAATATTGAAATTCCAAAATATAATTTGAATAATTCAATATTATTTGAATCTGAGTTTCTTTTGGAACTTATTGAAAATACCTGGACATTGAACCGAGATAAGGCTTTTAAGAATTTATTTGATGATTCTAAGCAAGATGAAGATGACGATGAAGTTATTGAAAATGTAAAGAAAATCACCCAAATTAACCCAAGTGAAGTTTCTGAAAAGGGGTATCAAGAATTGGAAAAGGAACCGAATAAAGATATTAATAAAAGTTTAGATGAATCTCAAGAAGAAGAAGAAGATTCTGATGATGATGATGGTGATGACGACATTAATGATGATGTTGTTGAGGTTCAAGCGAATGACTTTAATATATTTTTCAAGGAACATGAACCAAATTGAAGCTGGTTTTTTTATATTAATTGCTTTTGGGATTGAATATAAAGTCTTGAGATTATACATTCAACATGGTTTTTTTATAGCAGATGTATATCTTAATATGATTATTGTGTATTTATCGTTGACAACGACATTTAATCTATAATTATTACCGAAATGGTTATCACAAAATGATAGATATCCAATATTAAATGCCTGGGCTATCGAATGAGCTTTATATGATATGACTCTAAAATCTTCTAAAGATCGAATCGCAAATTAATTAAATCTGTTTATTATCCAAAAAATCAAACTATACAATAATAATCAAAAAAAGGAAGAAAAGACATAGTAAATTAAATGATTAAAAAACTCAATAATTAGTCATTCAAGTGCAAAATAAAAAACAGTAATTGTAGGGGTTTCATTCTTTATATCATAACAGTATCTTGTATTCATATATAAGTAGTTTCTTTTAATACTTAACCAAAATAAGTTTCAGCTAATGCATCCTTATCAACAAACCAAGCGATTCTACCAGCAGAACCTTCATTAACAATAGATGCAGGTAAACCTTTTTCAGGTCTTTCTAAAATAGTTTTAACAATTGAAGCTTTAACAGCACCTTCAACAACAAATGAAACACGATGGGAATGACATATAACTGGAATAGTTAATGTAATTCTTCTTGTTGGACCAGATGGTGCATTTTCAACAGGTACAACCCAAGCAAATTTTTCTCTTAAAACTTCATGATCATTAGGGAAAATTGATGCAATATGACCATCAGGTGCACAACCTAATAAAAATAAATCAAATAATGGTAATCTAACTGAATCTTTACTTGCAAAACCTTTAATAAGGATTTTTTCATAAGCATCTGCAACTTCTTGTGCATCATCTAATAAAGATTCATCAATATGATAAACTTTGGGTTGTGGTTTACCTAATTCTTGTAATTTATCAAACAATTCTCTTTTTGCTAAACCATAATTTGAATGTTCATCACTAAATGGAACTAAACGTTCATCTGCAAAATATATATCCCATTTATCCCATATAACATCTTCTCTTTTCAATAAACCTTGAGCTAATACACTTATTAAAGAACCACCAGATATAGCAATTTTAAATCTTTTATTAATGATTTTTTCTTTCGCTTTTTTAGATTTTTTATCTAATGCAGAAGATGATAATGGAGGTGTAGCAGAAGCTGATGCTAAATTTGATGAAGAAACACTTGGAGTTGGATTTTTTGAAGATTCATTATTTGTACTATTACTTTCAATTGAAGGATCATTTCTAGGAATTGAATGTGATGTTAAAGTTTGTAAATTTTGAACAGATGTAGTGGAATTATTACTTGGTAAACTATTCACCAAAGCTTGATTTTGAGCATTTATAACATGGTTGGCCACTGCATCTGCGACACCAGCAAACTCACTAAATGAATAAATTTTTGGTACCGTTGTTGTCATAATATCAACTCTATGATCTGATTTGTATGGGATCTGTTTATGAAGACCTTATAATATGTGACACTTTGTCCTTAAATTTGTCTTGTGACGGTTTCAAAGATTGAAATTCGTCCTCAATTCTTAACTGAATTGTTCTCTATTGTTGTTAAAAAACTCCTGACTTTCTTTGATTTCGGTGACAAAATCCACAAAATTCGCGAATTGTTTTTTTCAAAAAAATCCAAAATGCTGAGTCAGCTGAATCCGGTACAAATCTTACAAAAGACGGGTTACACTTGTGAATTCCGCGAATTTGATTAAAAGTAGTATAATGAATGGCAAATTTAGTAAGTAAATTATCATAAAAGACACGGAAGAATCAGACACTTACAACAGGTATCACAAGTCAATTGCAATCTAATATGCCTGTTACTACAAAGCGTGGTGTCATTGAGCTCCTGACAGTTATTTTTTACAAGGCTAAAGGTCATACCATTGAAAAGGAATTAAGCAGTAATCGTGAGAAAACAATATTCATTAATGATGGAACAGTTCTAAGTTTTCTACAACCAGGTGATCAAAATGATGATAAAATAGTTGTATCCGTGATGGATATTGATGAAGATAATGTCAGTTCAATTGTGATTAATTATAGTAAATTCTTTTCTACTTTGAAACTACCGGCAAGTGAAGAAACTGTTGCTAGATTTTATAGTAATTATCAAGGTAATCCACAAGATACATTATGGGGGTATATGTTTCAAAGATTAACAGATGTTTCAAATGTTCAAATAGATGTTGATAATGCACTTGCTCAAAATGATAATGGTAAATGGAAGGAATTTTATGGAAAAATTATTATACCTGCTTTTTATAGATTTAGAGATTCAAATGAAGTTCATTTAACTCAAGCTGAAAAAGATGAATTTATTAAAAATGCTGCATTCAAAGTTGGAAATCGTGAAATATTCCCAGAAGCTGCAAGAGAAGCTAATCAAGCCGCATCATCATCATCAGCATCACAATTACAAGAACGTCCTTCTACAGCTTCATCAACTGCAGAAGCTACAGAACAAGATGTTAGACCTCAAAAAGTTTCAACAAATAAATCATCAAATTTACCAGAAGAATTACCAAAATTTGATGATGAATATGAATTAAAATCTCGTTTAGAAGAAAGATTACCTCCAAGATCTCCATTTGCTCCAATTGGTGATCGTGATTTACATCCATTTGGTCAATATCCACCATTAAAACCACATTTAGGTGGTCCTGAAGCTCCATTTTCTGGTATGATTCCAGATGCTAATCATCCATTATTCCGTGGTCCTCCTGGTTCAGGATCAGCTCCAAATAGAGGTGATCATCCTCAAGGTTCAAGATATGATGATCCATTTGGTAGAGATGATTTCGATATGGTTGGACAAGGCTTACCAGGTGGTAGAGGACTTGGTGGTAGAAGTACTTTTGGTGGTAATAATCCATTTGGTAGATCTGATGGATTTGGTGGTGGTTTTATTTAAGAAGAATGAGAAAACAAAAGAAAGAACACAAAATAGAACCCATAATTTAATGGTTTTAATGATTTACGTTTAGTAAAAGGAATGATATGTTGATTTTGCTTTATTATTATTTGTCTGAAGTTGTAGTTATAATGTTGTTTCAAAGTTTTACGTCAAAAAGTTCTATTAGGTCTGTCATGTTCCCCGGTCAAAAGTTTATATTAGATGCCTTAAACAAGTAACCCCTTAGATCTTTTATTTTCCAAGATTTGACAATATACTTTAAGAATCAAGATCCATACCAGTTGAATATAATTGTTGAACTTTTCAGGATGACACCTAATCCAGATGATATTTTCACCATTGATACCAAACTTAAATTTATGTTTTGGACCATGAGTACTGCGTTACTCAGTATCTTTTCTGAATGCGCTGAGGACGGAAATGACGAAAAGACAATGTATTACAAAAGTTCATCAATATCAATTACAGGATATATGAAAATCGCAGGAAGAGCATCAGTTGTTCAAATATCAGATAATCTGTTCTTGTTTAGTGGTAGTAATTGGTTGGAAAGGGATAAAAATGGTGGTAGAGCAGCACTTAACCGTTCACAGATGTCAATAGTTACTAATTATAACGAGTTCTTTGAGGATATTAAAGACTATCCATTTGATAGGAACTGGATTGCAAGCATATGCGAATATTGTGGTGATGGAATAGATGATAACATTGAGGCAATAAAGAGAGAAAATCCATTGCTTAATGATGAAGATATTGAATATGGTAAAGTTATTAATGAAAAAACAGAAATATATCACGCTCACCAAGTAAGGGAAATAATGGGTGGTCAGTTTCTTGCATGGTTGGCTATAAGCCAAGATACCCATTGGTGGCGGTTCCATCTTCCATTCTATTTCGATGATAAAGTAAAAGAACAATTTACTAAAACCCTTCGCTCATATCTAGAAGCTAAACAAATTGAAGAGCTTGGTGAAGAGTCAGATGTTGTTGATGATGATGACTTACTACTAAGATTCCCAGTGACTGGATCCTCTCACTCACTAATTAATAATGGTGATCAATTTTCAAATACAGAGAAAAATGGGCTTCCAAGATCAAGAATTGAATATCCTGAAATATCAACAGGTGGCCAAACTAGTGTTTGGTTTGGACTTGGTAGGAATACTTCACCATTTTTATACAATACTTTACAATATAGTTAAAGGAAGGAGTACAATAATACGCGGTAATAATCAATATAGCTATCCAAATCATTTTTTGCTTTAATATATATTGCTAATATCAATTCTCTATACGTATGTACTATATTTTCATTGGAAGTAAACAGTATTAGTCGAAAAGAAAGAAAAAATTAAAGATCAACACTACTAGAACAAACGAATTCACCAAATCAAATTAAACTAAATTATGAGTATTCAATGACTTAATTCTAGTGGAAAGCAATGCTACTTGAAAATTTGCCTAGTGATACATTGGTGTGATCTTGATTTTGAAATTTCTTTAGGTCTGTCATGAGATTCGGGTCAAGGTTTATATCCTATGCCTTAAAGAAGTAACCCCTTAGATCTTAAATTTTACCGCCGATAACAATAGAATTAACAATTCACACCAATTAGGAAACCAAAATTACTTCAAATATGTCGTCTAATCCAGATGATATTTTCACCATCGATACAAAACTTAAATTCATGTTTTGGACCATGGGATCTTTGTTAATGTATGTCTTTTATGATTCTTCTAAGGAAGGGATTCGTGATAGAACAATGTATTACAAAACTTCAGCTACGGCAATTACAGGATATATGAAGGATATGGGAAGGACGTCTGTTGTTCAACTATCAGAGAATTTGTTTTTATTCAGTGGGAGTAATTGGCTAGGAAATGGGAAATTTATTGCTGGTAAAAAATCAGTACAGACTACTCAGATGTCAATTGTTGTTAACTATAACGATTACTTCAAAGATATTAAAGAATTTCCATTTGATAGAAATTGGATTGCAAGCGTAAATGATTTTATTGGTAGTGAATTAGATCAAAATGACGTTGCATTAATGAAGAGAGAAAATCCATTGCTTATTGAGGAAGATATTGAATATGGTAAGCTCATCCATGAAAAAACAGACCAATTTCACCAACATCAAATGAGTGTGATTATGAGAGACGAATCTTCAAAACGTTCATCTTCAAGTTCAGGCGTGACCTTTCGATGGAGGTTCGACTTCCATTACTTTTTTGCTAGTAAATTAAGAGAACAATATACTAAAACCCTTCGCTCCTCATATCTTGAAAGAGCTAAACAGATTGAAGAGTCTAATGAAGAATCAGACGATATTGATGATGCAGATGAGTTACTTTTAACACCTCCAGCTGCTGGATACTTTCAATCCAAAACTAGTTATGATGATTCATATTCAAGTACAGGGAAAGAAGAGCATCCAAGATCAAAAATTAAATATCCAGAAATATCAACTGGTGGACAAAGTAGTGTTTGGTTTGGGCTTGGTAGGAATACTTCACCATTTGTATACACTACTTCAGAATATATCTAAAAGAGAGAGAGAGAGAGAGAGAGAGAGAAGTACAACGATATGTAGATATCAAAATTAGTCTCTTCATATTGTTATCAGCTTCCCTGCTATGCACATATACTATACCCATCCCAAGCCACCAATTTATGAGATAATATGTAATTGCTCTTGCACAACTATGCAATATGAAAATTGTTACGCCTGATAAGCGAGCCATGGTGCTTTTTATACAGTACAGATAATCATGCTAGCTGTGTATCTTCATACATTCACCAAAAACTACTAGCAGTATGTAATGAATAGAATAGAAAATATATAGATTTGACGTAAATTGAGCCAGAAGAATATTCATACACGATTGATTTCCTACTTTTAATTAATATAGCCGTCTTATACTTTTATATAGATGACGTCCAAAATACTACATGATGTATATGCATCTGACCATACTCGTAGAGTCCTTAAATGTAATACAACTATACATCTTAATCTGATACGAATGCCTAATTTATTATCAAGCGATACAATGCATGTCATCACATTCCAAGTAAGCTATAACAATTATTAAACAATCTACCAAAGTCTAATTATCCCAGAAGAATGTTAATTCATCTGGTGTACCTTCATCTAATCCACAATCTTTGACATAATCTTTTCCTTCAAATCTATCATTATAATAATCTTCAAAGTCACTCAATGGTGTACTGAAACCAGGACCTGTTGAATGTCCTTTTAAGGGTAATACAGCGTCATTATGAATAATTCTAACAAATGGTTCATCTTCACCATCACACTCTAATCTTTCAAAAACTAAACGAGCACCCATTGGCATGATATTTGAAACTTTCCAAGGATGATCAAAATCTTGATAATCAGTTGGAATTTCACCATCATACAATCCTAAAGCAGAGATAATTGGGAACATACTTGAACTATGTGTGAATGATAATGTCAAATTGGCATTCTTATCTTTTAAAGATTTGATTAATCCATTAACATAAACGGCACCAACTGAACTAGAAAGATTATTACCTGGACCTTGTTCAAAATAAACTTTAACATCATTTGAATAAGAATAAGCCAAAAATTCATCAGATTTGAAAATATCACAAATCTCACTTGAGCCAGTAACAATTAAATCAATTCCACAATAATCCATTAATGATTTAACAGCTTTCTTGGAGATGTTCAATCCTGGTGATTCAGTGTTTAGTCTTTCAGCAATATCCTTTAAGTAATCATCAGAGACACTATCAATTTTATCTTCACCGTTTTCCCAATCATAATTCTTACAATAGTTGATTGGAGTTAAAGAATTAGCACCTAATTTTTCATTATCTTCTTCAATTTGAATGATATAACTTTCATTATAATCTTCACCTAGGAACCCTTGGGCAAAACTTTTAGCAGATGCAACTATTCTACTACCATTTGATGAAAAGAATTTAACACCTTCCTTTTCATTGAATATATCATCATAGACTTCCCTAAATAGGGCACCGTGTGTATATAAATCCAAAAGACCAGAGTAAGGACCTTTAGCGGTTTCATCATCAGCTTTACTTAAATCTAAACCTTCAAAATCATAGTATTTTAAGAAATTCAATGGACCTTTGATCTCTTCTGAAGAATTTTTAATATCAGCCAAATGTTTAGTTATTTTCTCTAATTTATCTTCACTTGGAATTCTTTCACCATGTCTTGATAATAAATTTGCTTGTGTAACTTTACATTGAAATGGTGTATCTTTTGAAATACCATATCCTGGATTTTGAATATATGGTGATGATGTTGATAAGAATCTAAGAACGTTAAATTGATCTAAAGCTTCTTGAGTATATGGTTTATAAGATAATTGTTCAGATTGCAGTGGAATTGGGAAAGCATCAATTGTAGCAATGGAAAATGCCAATGCAGATAAGACGGTAGTTGATAATTGCATCTCTAGATTCCAATGGTGACTGTGTCTCTTGATGGATTTTGTGATAATTGAGATGAAGTAAACTCCAAGAACCAACCTTGTAGTTCATCTAAAAAGAAGAAAATCTTTTCCCATCTCATCTCTTTATCGTCGTCTTTGGTTGATTTGCGCAAAGTTTGCTCAACCTACATAAAAATCACCCCGATGAGGTTCATTTAAGCGCATACTGAAGCAACTGTTGAAAATTGAAATCAGTGGTATTCTTTATTAGGTGCCCTCAATATTCTTTTGTTAATATAATAGCGGTAAACTGGTTCTCTTTGGCAATATTGATTTTTGATCGATTTTGATATACTGATACCTAAAAATCTTTTGAAACAATTGAAACAATTGAAACAATTCGTACCAGCGAAACGATTGTTGAATCTCTTCCGCGAATTTCCATCTTTGGTATAAAAGGAACAAATCATCCCATTTTTTTTCAACTTCTTTTCCAAACTTTTTTTTGAAAAAACAACTGAGCATTGAGCTTTAAAACCTTCATCTTAATCGAATTGGGAATAATAACGATTCCATCTATCTTTTAAGAAGCTCTTATTTCACAGGCCGTCGTTTATTTGACTATAAAATCCTTGATACTGCTCATTGGAAGTGTTCTATAAGTGGTTGAAAAAAATACCCCTGAACTTGGAATCTGAAATATATCTTGGTTTGCAATCACAACCAATAAACCGTATAAGATTATTTCCTCTTGAAAAACAGGGATTCTAGACTTCCGTTAATTAAAGAGTATATTGATTACTGATCTGTGTTTGTGTTTCAAAATAATTTGCATAGATTGGTGGCCTAATAATTTTATTTGGCTAGTTAAAAAAAAACTCAATCTGCAATTGTTACACTTTGGATTGTTATAATTCCTACTAAACAAAAAGGTTTCAATCTGCTAACTCTGCTTTAATCTAATCAGGATCTAAACTTAGTTACCACTGATCATCAATATAGATAGTCTCTCTAATTTAATAATAACAAACAAATAATAATTCAAATCTATCGAATTCTTTTTGACTTTAAGTTAAAACATAAAAATAACGTCTACCGCGACTTATACTTCTAGTCAACGTATACTCCCTTTTTATAAGACCTATACGTGAAACCTCCTTTATCATTTATCACCAATGATTGAACACACGCCTTTACCTTATATGGTGAACTCCAAACAGGAACTTGTTCTATACAGTATCGCTGGAAAGCATGCCATTATCAACACATCCCTTCTTGCAAGTGGCCAAGGGGTACCAGCATTAAGACCTATTATTAAAGTTGATTCCCAAAGTGCTTCAATGCAAGTTCATGATTTGACATTACACAAAGTTGTTAAGCTTGATGATGATAGAATGTTGGTTGAACATTCAATGTTTGAGATGAACTATTGCAAAAGAAGGGTTATTAGCTTTAAGGAATACTTTGGTGAGCAAATCCAATGGCCAGTTATAGTCTCAAATGTTATTGAACATCCTATCCATACTGGTAATGCTGCTTTGTTTGTTAGACATGATCCTAAAATCGTATTTGGTGCACAGATGTTGAGGGTATTGTTTGATTTTGATATGGATGAGGTTGATTATAGTGATGAAAACACTTTCAAGTGGAAACCAATTCCTGGAATGACACCTGAGGAGGAGAAACCGTTATATGATAAGAGTTTAAGGGAGTTTTTGGAAAGAAAGTTCAATAATGATGATGATGATGATGAGGATAAAGAAGATGAAGATGATGAAACATCACATGAACATATTGTCAATCATCCTGAAGCACCTGTCTTGGATGAAGATGATGGGGATTTATTCAAACCAGAAGGACTAGTTTATGGTGATGATATGATGATTGAAAAACCAAAATCTCGTGGTCCGAACAACTGATGGTTCTTAATTGGTGAAGTAGAGTGGTTTATATATGCTAGTTAATAGATGTTGGAGGTTGATTTTGCTGATTGAACAAATTAGTGTTTTTATAAGTTATAGCTAAGTGATAGTATGGAGTACATTTTTATAATATGATATATTTGTTATAGTTGAATTGTTTGCATTGACCATGATTGTAGTGATTCCTATATATGAAGACGTTTAATTACCCGCGAACTTCGAATATGATCTGTTGTAAGATTAGCCTTGAAAGTTGAAACCTTAATTTCTCGAAAAACCGTTGACGTTTCAACAATAAGAGCCCGATCAAATTCTTGCATTAATAAACCAAGTGGTATATATATTTTGAAATGCAAATTACATTGGAAATACCTCATATTTTGGGGACCAAGAAAGAAGTTATATTGCTTGCAATTGCTGGCTTGATTTGGGTAGAAGCAATTGATGAAGGTGGTTTTGGTAAATGTTACTATCTAAATGATAAACAGAGTTCAACTGTTGCTGTTTACCAAAATGGTCGTTATTCAGTATTCCCTATAGATGATCCAAAAGTAAATGATAAATTTATTGTGAGCTTCTATCAAAATAAAGGGTGGACTTATAGTACAGTTATAAGTTTCAAAAAAGAGTTTGGAACTGTTCAATTACCTGTATCAACAGTTGATATTATCACACCATCAGGTCTTTACGAAAAAGAAGAGATTATGAAACTACCACCATTAGGTAGAAGATGTCATAAATTTCGTCATGATTTCCAATTGAAAATGTTCAAATCCAAAAGTGAACATTGTGATTGTGAACATTGTGAATTAAATGATGATGGTATAAATACCCCAAGATTTAGAAGAATTAGACATAAAAGAGATTATATGTTAGATGCATTTCTAAATGATAAATTTTATAAAGAGTTTTTGAGAATAATAGGCCATAGAAAAACTTCTTCTAAAAGAGAAATGTTGAATGATGATGATTCAGATGATGAAGAAATTGAACTCATACCAGATCCTGAAGATATATCGGTAACAGAGAAAGAGTCAAGATATATAACTTTCAAATCAAATATCGAATACCCAGGTGAACCATATGGTGGTTATAGCTCATATTTATTTGGATTAAATATGCAATCACCATTTGGAAGAACTCTAGCATAATCAAGAGTTGTGC